TTGAAAAAAAACTAAATTGCAGATTTTTTTTTCTTATATCTATTGCCACCGATAGCTTTGGATGCCGGTTATGCATTACCTAACCAGGCCTTCTTCGAAAATTTCGGCACCATTGTACTGTATGCTGTGATAGGAACAATTTGGAATATTGTTTCTATCGGTTTCTTTTGTTCTTTCTTTGCTTCATTTAAAATTTACTAATTCTTTTTAATCACTGTTAAACAACTAAAATGCATCAATTAACTAAAATAAATTTAGATTTATTCGGTACTTTCAGTTTTTGCCACAGTGCAAATTGTTCTTTTGACTTATTTTGCATTGCATATATATATTTTTTAAATCATTTAAGAATAAATTCCTTTAAAATAAATGGGCTTACAAAGTTTGAGGAAGAAAATAAATTTGAAAATTTCGAAAAATAAACTACTCGTGTTTTTCCGGGTTATTTTAATAAGTTTTATCAAATTTTTATTGTTTTATAAAAGGAAAAATCAAAGTTACTTAGTGAATGTCAATTTCAGGATTTATCCTATTTATGGCATCATCATTCTTTTCGATCTCATTGCATTTGCTCGATCTATTTCTCTTTTCAACTTTTATTTCGGCAGTAGATCCCGTTGCAGTATTAAGTGTTTTTGAAGAAATTAAAGTTAATCGATTATTGTATATTTGTGTTTTTGGCGAGTCATTATTGAACGATGCTGTAACAATTGTAAGCGACTTTTCCAACATTACAGAAATATTTTTGTATCAAACAATTCAAGTAATTAATCAATTAATTAATGAATCATACATAAATACGCAGTTACGTGCAGAAATCTCAACGAATATAGTTTTAAAAAAAAAGACGAATCTAACCAATTTGTTGTTTTATTATTTCGAAAGATATGTATGATATTCACTTTGATAAGTCTTTCTCATCGTCCAAAAACAGTCTAAATCTTTGTTCAAATTTTAAGAAACTTTATTTCAGATAAACAAAAATCAATGATCTCATTTTATTTTAAATTCATCCTATTTTGAAACATAAAATTATGCTAACATAAACGAAAGTTTCATACAGGTTGTATATCATGCGCTAGCAGCGATGGTTAAAATTGGACCGGAAAATTTAGAAGCGGATGATTTTATCAAAGCTCTCATATCATTTTTCCTTGTGAGCTTTGGCGGAATACTTATTGGAATTGTTGGAGCTGCTCTTACCGGCTTAACTACTAAGTAGTAATTCTCAAATATAATTCATTTTTGACACAATAATTCAATTATTCAACTTAACAAGTTATACTACAATTTAAAATTTAGTTAAGTTAAACAAAAAATAATGCCACATCGTTGTGTTCAATATCTTCAAGATCATGAAATTAGATGATTTTGACTTTTTTGTGTTTTTTTTTTAAAAAGTAAATTGTGATGCAAAGTTCATTTTCAAGTGAAGTCATCCTTTACTTAAAAATGATTTACATGAAATATGTAAGTTTGATTGCTATGATGAGAGAATCAAATGCATTTCATATGTTTTATCTAAGCTACCATTAATTGTTTTATTTATTTAACAAAAATAATTCAATTTAACAAGTATTTTTTCTAAACCTATCAGTTAAATAATTCTAAATATAATAATAATTGTATTCTTTGATTTACTTTTTAATCGTTTTAAATTTATCATTCACAATTCAGATATTCAAATAAGCAACAGGTGCTACAACCATTAATCTGTTTGATTATACCTTATCTTTCATATTTGGTAGCAGAAAGTGTCCATTTTTCTGGCATCCTTGCGTAAGTCATTCATTTTTTATAGTTTTAAAATTGAACTAAAATATTTAAAAAAATTTCAGCGACAATACCGATTGAAACTATCTGATCAATGTTTTAAAAGAAACATGCGAAATTTTGATTTGATCTAAAATGACAGAAATGTTTTCATGCTAAATGAACAATTTTTTTAATTGACCATATCTTTTCAATCTTTATTTTCGTTTTTCGTTTTTTTTTCTTTCACTGATTATTCTGTCATTATGTTTTTATCCTCTCATTTTAATTATTTGGTTATTAGAAAACTAAAATTTGCATGTTCTTTTTTCACCAAATTTAATGAATCATCATGATACAATTTATTGTATGTTATACAAATGAAAATGATCAATGAAAATTTTCGGAAACTGTTAGCTGGAAATTTAAATTTACATTAGAAAAAAATTCTCCAATTATTTAAAAACTTTTATTTTCATCATTTTTTTTAGTATCGTCCTTTGTGGTCTGATGATGAAACAATACCTTGCTGGAAATTTATCGAAGCAATCATTGGTTACCACAAGTTATTTCTTAAAAACCCTTTCAACAAGGTTTTTCAAATTTTCTGCTATTATTGACATCAAAAAGCAATAGTTATAAAATTTTTACAAGTACTGTTTATGCTCATATAAATAGATTTGAATTGAAATGTAATAATATTATTTGAATTTAATCTAAAATTGATTACAAATATTGCACAAAATGTTACATATGTATCAAATAATTCCTTCAAATGTGATTTTTTTTGCATAATTACATTTGAAAAAATTAGAGATTAGAAGGTGTAATACTTTTGGAAGTTTATTACAATTTGCTAAAATTAATATGAATTAAGCTGTGAAGCGATAATATTCGTCTTCTTGGGATTGTCAACGGTATCAAAGAAACATGATTGGGATTCAGTCTTCATTGGAGTAACATTATTTGCATGTTTTATTTGTAGATTTATTGGTATGTTCATTTAAAAAAAATGAAATTGTAAATGAATTAAAAGCATAGTATGCTGATTTCATTTTTTGTAATTTCTATATTAGCTTTATTTAGAAAACAATAAAACAATTTGACTGTAAATTGTAAAATCGATAATTGTTGTATTGTAAACGAATCAAAAATTTATAAAATTGTAGGAACTTATTTCTTGACATGTTTGGCAAATAGAGGAAGGTATCAAAAAATAAATCTCGTCGATCAGTTTATCATGGCTTACGGTGGTTTACGGGGTGCTATTTGTTATGGTTTGGTGATGACATTGGATAAAGATGCGGTTGTGGCTAAGGAAATGTTCGCTTCAACAACGATTATTGTTATTTTAACAACTGTTTTCCTACAAGTAAGTAAAAAGCAGATGTATAATTAATAATAACAATAATATTAATAATATTAATAATACTAATAATATTAATAATATTAATAATATTGATAATATTAATATTAGTAATATTAATAATGATAATGATGATAATAATAATAATAGTGATGATATTAATAATGATAATGATGATATTAATAATGATAATGATGATATTAATAGTGATAATGATGATAATTATTTTGAGAAATTTTAATGCCATTTCATTTTTGACTAGAGTATTAAAAAAATAATACTAAAGTAAGTAAATGTTGAAAAAAAATTCGGATGTTCACTGAAAGGTATCATCCAATGATAGGGAAAGTTGCCATTTTAGGGTGCTACAATCAGGCCACTGGTCAGATTGCTTGATGTTAAAACTGAGCCAGAAAATCAGGAGACATTAGTGGAACATGTCATCAGCGACGTTTGTTACCTTTATTTTTTTCTTTAGTTCTAGTTTGCAAAAAGATTTTTTTTCTCAATTTCCTCTTACTTCTCGTTTAACAGATAATTTCATAATAATGTAAAATGATTCCGAGATAATTTCAAATAATTATAAAATATCAAACGGCTCAACTCTAAACTTAAAATTAAAGAAGCAAATAATTGAGCCAAACTTCTTTTACAGGCTTTTTTTTGTGCTATTTATATCTTTTCATAATAATTGTTATTTTGGGAAGATATAATAGATATTAAAAATTTTAAGGTTCGTGATGATATTATGGAAGGTATAGAAGCTGTTGCGGGTATCCAAGGATCACAATGGGTAATTGTAAATTTAAAAAATTCTAAGCTAACTTTGAAATGACAAATTTTTTGAATTTTGACAATTTTTTTAAAGCTAACTTTATAAATGTTATAGTTTCGGCAAAAATTATCACGCTTTAACAATGATTATATTTTACCCTGTATGGTTCGTAATCAAAAAACTCGAGCTGATGAACTTTTGGCAATTTGTGATAAACAATGATTTGAGGTAAGCAGAAGATAGATAACAACTGTTGCTTTATAATTTTAATAAGCTGATAAACGATCACAATAACTTGTGATGTAATTCAATGTTGGATTTAAGCTTAAAGTTTATTAATGACAATTCGAAACATAAATATGAGTTACGCAACGCCTTGTACATGTGAAGTTGAAATTTGAAACTTGTTGAGCTATATTTTGAAAAAATTATAATTGATTTATGCATAACTCATACAACGTATAATAGCAAAGAAATAATTACGCTAATTAACGTTTATTAGATCATTTAGAATTTATTGCTATGAAAATTGATGAATATGATGATTTTAATGTAATTTCAAACTATATTCTTTTTGCGTAATAGTTCGATTTCTGTTAATTACTGAGGAAAGATGTTGAAAAATAGGTAAATTGAGTTAAATCACATGACAAAGGTAAATTACTTATAAATTCTTTGCTGTAAAATGTCTTGAAACAAAAACAGTTACTTCTTACTTTTTATTTTGCTTTTTTCTTCATGAATAGTAACTGATTGATTGGTAAATTGATAAATTAAAACTGAGATGACAAATTGAAAGAATTAATTCACTTCTCAAATACATAACAAATTCGAATCTTTCAAGGACAAATTTTTTTTCTGAATTACAAAATTTTAAAAATATATACTTTATTACTGCACTGGTAAACAACTTTCACTTTTCTATTCGTTATGAACAGTTTTCACATCAAAATTTACATTAGTATTTGATATTTTATTTTCTATTTGAGTCATGGCAAACCAGCAATTGCTTCTTCAGGTAATTCCGATTGACTTACGCGGAAAAAACCTGATAATAAACAAATGAGGCTTGAAGTATGCATTTTTTTAGTTACAAACTTTTTGGCTCATATTTGAATTGAATAGATAGTATATCAAAAAAAAAGACAAATTTTGAAGACGGATTGACATCTTCCATACTTTTCTGTTGCAAAAGTCAAACTTAAAGTAATTTTGTATGAATTATTAATGCCTCAAAAAATTATACTATCAGTGCAAAAGATTATAATGAAATTATCAAAATAATATGGATTTCCTAAAAAATTTAAAAAAAACTTGCATAAATTTAACATACCATAATCACCCCAATCTCTTCCCCATGTATTCATATAAAGCCAATATTTAAAGCTATTCTCTTCTCCCCAACCTAACAATTTAGCACAATGTCCATAAAGTTCTTTTGAAATTGTTGAATTAATGGTTTGATAAATTCCTGAAATATGAACTAAATTTCCGCTTTTCTTGCAGGATTTTCGAAATATTTCAAAAATGTTCAACTGATTTGAACTTTCACTTAAAATGATAGATGATTTTTTTTAAGTCAACCCTTCTGTACTTGATGATTAGTCACTGGCTAAGTACAAAAAGTTTCTAAGCCTTATTGTTGCCTACATTTATTGTATTACCTGAATTATAGTGCTGGAAATCCTCCCGTGCTGTAAAACACGCAAGTATTGGTCCATATAAATAAATTTCACGTTTAATCAATTCTATCGGATCATCTGAAAAGAAGAAAAAGTGGGGTTAATTTTAAAAAAAAAAGAATTAGTTTCTCAGTAAAGAAATTTTATACTTTGAATTTA